GGCTCCTTCTACCAGGCAATCGCAAAACATGGCGCAGATTGTCGAGTACATACCAGGTAAATCCTTACTCTCTACAACACATCATTCATACAATGGCCGCTTGGCTTTCCAGGGCCATGTCGCATTGTTATCCCTTTCAGTTTTCGCCGCTGCTCAAGGCTCAACCTTGCTTCGTCGACATCAATGTTCACAACATGCTTCTGCCAACATCGTGGCTAAACTATATTTCAGACCGACTTTACCTTGCCTCCTACGTCCATCCTCCTACGCCAGACACGCCGTTCCCTTACCCCGAGGAGCCTCAGCCAACTTCCCCCAAGAAGCGAAGTCAACGAGCTACTGCCGGTGCGACCCCGCTCGCCGCCAAGTCGAACCGACCGCAGCCATGCTATTTCACTGTCGACGATACTCTTCTGTACAACGCTTTCCACCATGATTTTGGCCCTCTGCACATCGGCCATCTCTACCGATTCGCCATCCAATTCCATGACATCCTGGGCGCAAAGCAAAACAAGGACCGCCCCATTGTTTTCTGGAGCGCTGCTGACCCTAGAAGTGAGCCTTTCCGTGTACATCTGTACGAAGCGCAAAGAAACTAACACCAAGCCCAGGTCGCGCGAACGCCGCTTGTATGCTCGCATGCTACATGGTCCTCATACAGAACTGGCCTCCCCATCTGGCCCTTGCCCCGAGTGCGCAGGTCGATCCTCCTCTGATGCCATTCCGAGACGCGGGTTACAGTCAAGCCGACTATGGCATCAGCGTTCAAGATGTTGTCTATGGTGTGTGGAAGGCCAAGGAGGAAAAATGCTGCGATCTAGACAACTTCGATCTTGACGAATACGAGCGTTTTGAGAGAGTCGAACACGGTGATTTCAACTGGATCACTCCCCATTTCCTGGCATTTGCCTCTCCCCAGCATGCGCCGGTCCAGAAAATCACAGAGGGTTCCGATCTGTACCCATTGCTTCCACGGACACTAGCCGCCGTGGATGCCCATCCCAAGTTGCCAAAGCCCTTCAAGAATGTGCTGAAGCATTTTTCCGAGAAGAACATTGGCCTGGTGGTCCGACTTAACTCTCAACTCTACTCCCCCTCGTATTTTGAGGCACTGGGTATTCAACACCTGGACATGATCTTTGACGATGGCACATGTCCCTCGCTCTCAACTGTCCGCAAGTTCATCAGACTCGCTCACGAGACCATCACTGTCCGTAAGCAGGGAATTGCTGTTCATTGCAAGGCTGGCCTCGGCCGCACAGGTTGTTTGATTGGTGCCTATCTCATTTACCGACACGGTTTCACTGCCAATGAAGTTATCTCGTTCATGCGCTTCATGCGACCCGGCATGGTTGTTGGTCCTCAGCAGCACTGGCTTCATTTGAACCAGGGCACATTCCGCGAATGGTGGGTTGAGGAGAGAATTGAGCGCAGACTCAGGAGGGAGATGGCTGCTGCCAACCCTATCCCCAGCACCCCAATTCGTGCCATGCAAAAGACAACACTTCGGAACGGCCAGGCTTCGACACCCCCCAACCGAAGCCCCTCAAACCGTACTCCGCTGAGTGAAGTCGACCACGACCGCAATAATATTGGGGTCCAGGAAGACTATTTACCAGCTCCTACACCCGGCCAACCGCGAAAGACTGCCAGGGATCGTCATCACCCTTACCAGCGCTCAACTTCCAACGGGCTCGTTGTTGAAGAGCAGCGCACTGTTGAGCAAGAAGCTGAGTACATTGCGACGCATAGCCAGGCTCACGGCGGAGAGTCTGATGAGGAGTTGCATTTGCGCATGCGACGTCATCGTAAGGCGACCTCCCAATCCCCGGCTCGCAGTGAGAAGACACGCTCGGTTAGCCAGACGACAGCTATCTACACCATTGACAATGATGCTTCACACGACGCTGAGAACATTGGCTCTGTGCGAACGAAGCACGTCGAACGAGTTGCTAGTACCCCTGGCGTTTTGACAAAGGTTCGCGGCAGCAAGCGGCAGGGGGAGTCTCCCCTTCGGGCAAAGGAGTCTGCTGGCATTCGAAAGACCAGCGGCAGAGTAGGCAGCGCCAATCATGGAGCGTCAGTGACGGCAGCTTCGACGGCCCGTAAAGTTTCTGGAGCTTAGAAAGCACCAGCACAGCGAGTCCAGCCGCTTCAGCGTTCTAATGCGAAGCGTAACAGGCACTTGTACGATTCCACGTCACGATCATGATTCACGTACGTCACGGGCAATGTTAACGTCTCTCATGCATTGGCGTTTCTGGCTCAGAAGAGGATGACGAGCGGTTTATGTTTGAATGTTAATGATTCTTCTCTCATGCATGATTGCTTACCCGAGAAGTGTTTGGCTTTCAGTTAATGTCATTTGAAACTTGCAAGATAATTCAGTTTCTGCAACATACAAGGATCATTACGGCTACGACTTCGATGGAGTTTGTCGTGGTCAAGGAGAGGGCAACTAGAGAGACGTGAATAATGCATATTATCTCGGATAAGGGAAAGACTGAGGGCATAGCGGAGTTCAAATTTGCGACGGCGTACAGGCAGGCAAGGTTGAAATTATTATTGTGGACTTATTCGGTTTGGCATTGCACTGGGTTTTGTTGTTTCTTGATGATAGTCAAAGAGGGAGGGGGCAATGAAGAAGAGACGGCAGCGGTTTTTTTTTACGACGGCTATATAAGTTTCCAAGAGCTGAAATACATACATCTCTTACACTGTTCATTCTTTGCGGATATGTCTGGCGACTGACAGTCTTAGGCTTATCATATTGATGATCTATCTATGTTGCTTCATATGCAGTTACCATCAGGTCCGGATGGCTTCGAGAGCTGTGACAACATCTTCTATCACCTTGCCAGCCTCAGCACTTGTCATCTCTTCACTCACGGCCAAACACTTGTCCACGACATCGCGATATCGACTACCGACCTTGCTACCCAGACCGGGAACGAGAACCGCACGCAGGACCTTGTCGCGCCATCGACCCGTGGAGTAGTGTGGTTTATGGTATGTTTGAAGAACCTTCCAGAGACCTATTTCGAGGAGCACCAAACCCAGACTATAGATATCCATGGGCTTGCAGTGAGGAAAGCCTCGCAAGGAAGCTGGGTGTCGGTGTAGCGTAAGGATAGAAGGATTACGGGGCGCGACAGAGAGCGCAGTGTCAAGGTCTGGTCTTGAAGCATCGAAACCCGTCAGATAAGGGCACTGTATATCTGGTACAAGAGCCCCAGCAGCAGTTGATGAGTGGGCCGATGCCGAAAAGGCTGAAGGGAAGAAGAGGATGTTTGAGCTGCAAAGGCTTTTATGAAGCCAGTCAAGTGAGTGCAGAGACCACAAGGCGACGGCGAGCGTATGTGCCAGACGGACTCGATCATCGAGGTTAGGAGTCTTGAGGTCTGAGCTGGCGATGAGTTCATGGAGCGTTGAGAAGGACGGCGAGGGCGCTTTGTATACGAGCCCGTATCTGCACCGTGAAGTATCGTCAACGTAGCCTACGCAGTCGATGCTATGAAGGTCAGGGTGGCAGTCGGAAGCGGAGTGCATCATGCGAGCAAGATCATCGAGACGACGCACATGAGCTACACGCTCATCAACATCATCGCGATCATAGTCAACCCACTCAATCACAACATCCCCGGCGCCCTCATGCCGCCCTGTACTTCTCCCGCCACCACCAGCATCATCGCTGAGATCAAGAGCAGCACGGGGAACCTTGAGAGCGAACGTCGGCTTGAATGAGGCCTGGGGCTTGGCGTCTAGGTTGATTCGGAGCTTCTTGAGGTTGGCCGAAGTGGTGAGCTTGGGGTAGACGCCGTCTGAGGCTATTTCAAGGAGGGTAAGCTGGGTAACGTCACGCTGCGCAGACTCGAGCAGCTGGTTCGTCCAGGCCCGTTGAAACGATGGGAGATGGGAGGTTGGGAAAAGGCGTTCGAGGCCATCGTTAAAGTCTAGAGTCGAGGTCTGTTTTAGCCTTTCTGTTGGACCTTGGACCTAGGAGGGGGCATTTACCTCGCAGGTCCCTTAGCAAGTTTGTGAACTTGTCTTTATCTACGAGCTATCAGTTCTGTTTTGATGGATATGTCAGATGAGGACTTGGAGGACTCACCTGCTATAGCCCATCTCGCTCTTAAACCCATCTCCTTGCCCCAATTCCTTTCACTTGTTACTCTTGAAACACCATTCAAGTCGCGACTCTCATCATCTTTTGATCTCTTCCTTGAAGGTGAAGGCGACTTTCTTGGCTTCGATCCAGTGACTTCCAAGCTGGCTCTCCCCTCGTCAACTAGCCCGTATCTGTTCTTCAGTTTCTTGAAGTCTGTGACTGCGCTATGCAACTCCTCGAGGATTTGAAGTGCCAAACTCCTCAGCTGGGGATTCCTTGTGCTCTCAAGATGAGCTTCAAGTCTTCCCTCGGCAACACCCCAGTCCCGGCCCCAGACGACCAGGCGCATCTCCTCAATGCGTACTTTACATAGGAGTCTCTGGCTATCTGTGTCAAGGTTGGCTGCTGCGGTGAAGAGGCTGTAGGCTCTGACGCAGCCGTCGAAGAGTTGGCCGAGAACACCTACTACGGCGAGGGCAGTTCCCACGGCTTCAGCCATTGCATTAGAGTGTGGAGTCAAGGTAAGCAGTGACGGGATAAGACCTGTGAGACATTAAAGGCTTTGACATGAGGTGATCAATTGTATGCATATGCATATGCTGATTATCATATGTAATTTGTGAGCTCCGGGCAAATGCCAGCTAGTTAGATCTGAATTAGATACTAGGATTAGGGATTGGCGCTTAATCAGCTCTAAGGTCATCCACCAGAGGCCTATCGCGATTCGAGCGGCAAACGCCCAATCGTCACAGTTGCAATATGCTGCTTGGTAGTTGCACACATACAACTAATCCTATTAACAAAAGAATTATTCTGATACCATATATACACAAACTGTAAAATCTATTTTATACATGCCAAGTCACATTGTTTCTTTTCATCGACCGACCCTTCATTGCAACATCTGCTGCATGGCATTCAGTCTGTAGCTTTCCCTCCGCTCCATCAGTTGAGAATGCCGCCCACTGTCAACAATCTGTCCATTTTCAACGATGAAAATGATGTCGGCTTTCTGCACAGTATGCAGTCGATGAGTGATAGCCAGTACTGTCGTGCCCCTCGATGCTCTCTCGAGTCCCTCTTGAAGGGCTGCTTCGCTGGCGGCGTCAAGCGCGCTGGTACTCTCATCTAGGAGGAGTAACCGGGGACGACGAACAAGAGCGCGGGCGATTGCAAGGCGCTGTCTTTGACCGCCTGATAGACGAGAAGCTGAGGGCCCGCATTCAGTATCGTAGCCATCAGGAAGGGCCTCAATAACATCATGGATATTCGCCAAACGGCAAGCTTCCTTAATCTCATCATCCGTGGCTTCATGGCCCGGGGGTGCTCCCAAGCCGACATTGAAACGCACACTACCGTCAAAGAGGGCAGGATCTTGAGGGACTAGAGCAATTGTATCTCGAAATGACGCTGGAAGCTTACTGATGTCATTATCATCGATGAGGACGCTGCCAGACGTGGGCTCGTATAAACGCTGGACCAGGTTCATGATGGTCGATTTGCCCGCCCCTGAAGGACCAACAAGACCACAAAACTGGTTAGGCGGGAGTGCGAAGGAGACATTGTCGAGTATTGTGGCATCGGGTCGGCTAGGATAAGCAAAGGAAACGCCCTTGAACGTCACCTTTGCACCTCCACGACGATGGTTATCCTCTGGGCTGAGCGACTTTTCTCCACCGGATGCTTCGATATCCCCCCCAGTCTTGGAGGGATCCTGTCCAGGTTTTCCTGTGTGTGTGCTACTTCCCATGTTGACGACCGTCATGACACGAGACAGGGCCAGACGAGCACGAGAGAATTCCGGAGCAAGTGAGAACATGCCACTCCAAAGCTGGGCACTCGTCAACATGGCGACCAATATAATAAGGAAGTCCTTCTGAGTATACTCCCCCTTCATGATGAGCTGTGAGCCCCACCAATACGCGAGAGCATTGATAAAGGTGCCGGTTGTGTATGAGATGGCCAGCCAGATGTTAGTTGTGACTGAGGCGCGCACAACCTGCTCCCTCGGAGGCTTCAATAATCGGGCGAAACCTTCCATGTACTCATTCTCGAGAGATAGGACGGCCACTGTGCGGATGGACTGAATAGCCTCAGTTGCAAGTGAGGTGGCAGTAGAGAAGGCCTCGCGGTGTCGCTCTTCATAACGTGCCAGCATGCGCAGCTGCATGAAGCCTGAGCCAAGCAATATCGGAAGCGTCACAAGACACACCAAGGCAATCTTCCAAGCAAAGATATGGGAGATAATGACCGCGATGAGAACATTTATGAGGATGGCAAACACGGTACCGAATGTTGAACCGCTAAAGGCACCCACAGACATGCTATCTTTGGTAATGATGCCAAGGAGGCTGGTCGGCGTTCGTCCTTCAGACTGGTGCCAGTGGATGCCCTGCTCCAGCAAGGATCGGAACGACAGAACCCGCAGGTTGTAGAGAAGCCTTTCAGCAACAATGCCGAAGCCCAGCCAAGCAAGGAAGTTGGCTATAAGCTCCACGCCCGCGAGCATGAAGAACAGGCCTGCAAACATGTTGCCCATGGATCTTATGTGGTCGAGGGTATTTGCACAAGGGTTGAGCGCTCCCACAGTGAAGCCAAATATGATACCAGAACCAGAAAAGGTAGCCCCAACGAAGACGGCAGCGATCATGGCGAGAGTGAACCAGCCTAGAGATGGTCGAATCAACCAGACAAGACCCCTGATGACAGAGCTGAAAGGCTTCACATCGTCCAACTCATGATCATCTGATGCTATTTCTTCTTTCTTCTTGGTCTCCTCCTTTTCCCGGCCCAATATCTGGGAATCCAGTGACTGTTTCGCCTCAGAAATCTCGGCCTTTTCGTTCAGCTGCGTGTCATTTCGGAGAGTTGAAGCGCCAATCGACTCGCCGTCTACAGATCCTGTGTCACTCTTATTGCCGACTGTCTGCAGCTTTGCCATGTGCGCAAATTCGCCATCCTCTTTGGCCATAAGATCATGATAAGTTCCTTGCTCAGCGACTCGGCCAGCTTTCATGACGACAATATTGTCGGCATTGCGTATAGTGGATAGACGATGCGCAATCGAGATGATGGTTCTCCTCTCAGCAGCAGCCCTCTCGACAGCAAGCTGGATTCTCTTCTCGCTGGCAGAATCGAGAGCTGCCGTTGCTTCGTCCAGGACAAGGATTTCAGGATCACGGATCAAAGCCCGAGCAAGCGCAATGCGCTGTCTCTGACCACCACTCACAAGCGACCCCTTGGGGCCAGCAGTCGTACCGTAGCCTAATTCAAGACGTTCAATGAAGCTGGCCGCATCAGCTTGCTCAGCGGCGTGACGGACCAAATTGGCAATTTCGATGAACTCGGGTCCCAGAGATGCAGCTGAATCTAGTGCGTCCTTTCCCTTGGCAGCCAGCTTCGCAAGCTCGGGGCCCTTGAGCAATGACTTGAGGTGTTTGTGGGACTCCTTTGGAGAGTTCACAAGACCTAGTGCGATGTTTTCGAGGATGGACCTATCGAGAAGCGAGGGTTCTTGCTGAACGAAGCTAATAAAACTTCGGAGAGACTTGACGTTGAGTTCTCGCAAGTCGTGTCCTTCCAGCTCGACCGTGCCCTCGGTGGGATCATGCAGGCGTGCTATCAGTGATGCGATAGTACTTTTGCCGCTCCCCGAAAGCCCAACAATCGCCGTATATTTTCCAGCAGGAAAGTCAAGGGTGACGTTGTCAAGGACAGGTTGGCCTCGCCGAGAGGCATACTCGAATGACACATTGCGGAATGTCAGCGTCTTTGCCGCACTTGGAGGTAGCACAACACCCTCTAGTGAAGTGCCGTCGATGGATGAAGGAGCATCAATGTCTTCCTTGAGCCGCTGGAATGCGCCTACGGCTGCTCCTAAAAATGGAAGAGTAGGTGCCATTCCTCCCAGCATGACGCAAGCGTCGACGAGAAGGTAGACAATGGCATAAATCTCACCAACAGTCGTGCTCCCGTCGTTTCGTGCCACAGATTCAGCGATCTTCTTACTGCCTTGCCAGAAAGCTAGGGCGTTGCCGGAGTAAGCGATGAAGTATAGCATTCCGGTCTGGATAGCGGCAATGGAAGACTTGGCTATGGCGTACTTGCGAGAACGGGCCATGTGCTCTGCAAACTTCTCTTCAAGGCGGGGAGCGGCACCGAAAGCCTGAACGACAGCAACGTGCGACAGAGCTTCGGAAGCAATGGAAGAGGCTGCAGCGGATGCTTCCGTCTGTTTGACCACAAACTTGCCTAGGTATCTTCCTCCTAGTATTCCGGAAAGAAGAAAGGCTGGGAGCATGCAAATGAGGATACCGGCGAGTCTTGGCTGTTTTGTGAAGGCAATGATAAAGACAGTGACGAAGAAGCTCATGGTTGTGATGATGTTGCCAACCTTCTCTGACGTACCGGCCTGCACAGCTGTGATATCGCCTTGGAGTCGGCTTGAGACTTGCCCGGATGATCCACGAGTGTCGAAGAATTCTGGAGGTTGGCGTAGAAGTGCGGACACATAGCGAGTCCGTAAACGCTGAGCAAGACGCTGGCTGATGATGTTCCAACAGGTCAGATGACCATAGATCAGGACAAGTGCAATAGCGCCGATCCAAGCAGTCTTTATAACCTTGTCGTTGATAGCATTTTCATAGTCAAGAGGATCAGATGCTGCATCGCTGGCTCCCGAACCGCTACCATCTGCGGCGCAAGTGGCTCCGTTGAAGTTGTCGATGAGCTGGCCGAATAGGACGCCCATAAGAGGGAAGGGAACACCAGCTCCAACGGCGCAGAGAGTACCCAACGCGATGAGGAAGTAATCAACCCAGGTCGGGCCCGCGGCGAACAAGAGTTCAAGGTAAATGAAACCGGTTTTGAGAGACTGGGAAGCGTATCAGTATCGCATGCTTACGGCATTCATCTGGGGCCTGGAGGATATGATGTTGACCTACTGAGAGAAAGCTTTTCTTCGGCTTCTCTGTGCCTGACTGATCAAGTGTGACGGACATGGCTGTCGCTGTCGATGTCGATCGAGGGGTAAAGCGAAGGTTTCTCAGAAGAGCATGTCCAATGACTGACTGCCAGTTGAGTAACGAGGCTATCACCAACAGAGCCCGTCAAATTCGGCGATGCCTTGGTAACCTACGAAAAGACCCTGGCGGCGCTCAAAGGAAGTACAATACTTGACACAAGAGAACAGAACAGAGCAATCTTGGCAACCCATGCCATACGTCAGCAGTCATTCAGAAAGCCGATTCAGGAGCCCTGAGCCAAGAAGACCCTGTTATGCAAGCATCATTTCCATGCGTTCGTTGATGGATGCAATGGCCCTGCATTGCACTCTGCGCTTTGACACAATCCATAATGACACGGCCTTGATGGGTTTCTCAGAAGAGGTAGGATCGTCTGAAGGAGACGAGAGTAAGGACTTGGACCAATATTTTGCTCAGGATCCCCAGCTCAGGGAACCCTTGTCCTAGGTGGTGGAGTGGAGGCGAGGGTAGCTGTGTATATTGGCGACAGGTAGAATGTTTATCCTCCAAGAGCTCTTTTGTGTCTGGTCAACGTAGGCGTGGACATATGCAGCCAGGGTTGAGGATCAGATAAACCAGGATGATCGGGCACATACTGGAGTGTGTATTAGGTTTAGGTAGTAGTGAGTCGGAGAAGAGTGTGGGATAGGCCAAGCCAATTGTGTTGGTGGGCTAAGATGGAGCCAGCAAACACCAAGAACCCCTGGGCCAAAGAGAATGTGGATGGTGATCAGATAAGATGAAGATGGTGTGATTGATTAATTGATTGATTGATTGATTGATATGATAAGATGCAATGCGACATGGCGCCAAGGCCGACGAGAAGTGGAGTAATAATAATAAACCGCCGAGCATCGGAAGGTGATCGTCACTTGTTTTTACCGTATTTGCAAGCCAATGCTGCAATGCATCGTCTTGGCTGCCGGAGGAAGAGCAGTTCTCAGAAAGATCCTTTTGAGACGGTTCAGAAACATTTGACAAGAAATGGAATTAAAATGACACATTCATCATGAACAAGGATGATCAAGTTAGCGTGAGAAATCCTTGATAAAGCCGCAGACGTGGAGAAAGAGGTGGAGAGGCGTCGGAATGACTGCCCTCCTATCGGAGTAAAGAAACCGCTGCTTGACCACTAAAATGCCCTTTAGTAGCCAGCTGGAGGTCAATGTTCCGAGAGGCGTTTTTATGCTTATTCTATCGTCAGCGGGAACGGAGATTGGGCGTGGTTAGGAGATGCTGGTGCCGGCAAATGACTTGATGTCTCCGGCCGGGTTTGTTCTCAGACTCCAGACTCCAGTCTCCAGGCAGGCATGTATCGGGAAGTGGGAGGAATGGAGTGCACATGGTCCAAAAAAGAACTCATCTGTGGGCCGGTCTTGGGTACTTGGTAGATCCTTCACATGAATTGCTTCATCGGGTTTGATACCTGATTTAGAAATCAAGAACCAAGCAGGCATGCATGATTAGAGTTGCATTTAGGTATGAGAAAAGTGGCAAGGTTAATACTATGCTTAAATCGCCCACTTATCAGATCCATTGGATTTCACAAGGTCTTGGCGGCTCACCCACCAGAGAGCGTAACTCACGCTTGCTGTCTGCGGCAGTTGATCTGACACTCTGGATAACTGCCTGCTGAGCTCTGCCACTTTGCACAGACGATAGCGTCCAGGAGCCTCTTCTCTGCACAGAGCCAATAATTGCCAAGATGCTGATCTTGTCAAGTTTCAGAATACAAACATCTTAGCAGGATCACAGCCCTGCTCTTGAATCTCTTGGTGTTGCATATATAAGAGGGGACGAGACACGATGGTGTTTGAGAAAAGGTCCTGTCTGTAGATAGATATCTAGACCAGCCCCCGTTCTACACAGACTCGTTGGAGACAAGAATCAATCGTGCCATCTTACACATCAGCTTCTTACCCAAAACCGCCACCAATACCACGACCAACACAATGAGCCAAGCAACCCTTCGCACCAGTCGTCTCGAACTACGGCCTCTCGGGCACGAGCACGGAGATTATATCTATCAGCTCGACTCGAACCCGGAAGTCATGAAGTACATCGGGTACGGCAAGCCACTCACGGCCGACGAGTCGACCATTGTCCACAAACTGCTCCTCGAGACAGCATCATTTGGGTCTGGCCTCGGATGCTGGGCTGGATTTGCCGGGGACGATTTTGTGGGCTGGTGGGTGCTGGCGCCCAGTCAAAGCAACGACGATCCGCCTCAGGTGAACAAGAAGCGAGTCGAGTTCGGCCTAAGAATCCTTCCTAAGTTTTGGGGTCAGGGGTTCGCCAAAGAGGGTTCTCGAGCGCTGGTCAAGCACGGCCTCGAGGACCTCGGCGTGGAGGAGGTCTTTGGTGAGACCATGGCCGTTAACCAAGGGTCCCGAGCTATCATGGCAAAGATTGGACTCAAGCATATTCGAACGTTCCACAACAAGTACGACAACCCTCCTCCGGGAATCGAGGAGGGCGAGGTGGAATATCGAGTCACGAGGGATGAATGGTCATCACAACAAGCATGTGCTGCGTAGTGGATGGCGTTGTAATAGCTTTAGACATCATCTCGAATTACTGCTTGAGCGTTTTCTGATTGTAAATCCTGTTCATTGCTATGCATTGTGATATGAATTTCAAAATGGCGGCAGCCTTGATAAGTGTTGGTGAAATTCCTTTTCACTCCCCACTTGAGGAATTGTACCGACAAAAAAGAAGAAGAAGAAGGAAAGGCTTGGGCAAATAGAAGGGGCGTTGCTTTGGCTCTGATATGCCCATCTCCTAGGACTTCTCTGGCTTCCTGCATCAGGTGGTGGCAACAACTCCCTCCATCTAATGCCGGAGGTGAGGATGATAATGGAACATGTGGGCTATATCGCGCATCGTTCCTGGTCTTGGCCACGCGGCCCGTCCAAAGAGGAACGTTCGGCAAACTCCGCTTCATGTAATGGAACAAGAGTTGCTCTGTACGAGGGATTGATCTAACAAGAGTCTTGGATTGTCGCTCGGTTGAACTATGGCTTGGCACCGTAGGTCCCTGGTAAAACCGGTGAACAAAACCGAAAGCCAGCGTGTATAGGTAGTTACTAGTATCAGTTATTCGGGATTAATCGCTTCAAGGAGGAAATCCAAGACCGAAAACATACTAGCCAGGTTTCATTCCGTGGGGGGGCCATTCCACTCTTGTTATTGGACATGGTCACATAATATGCACGACGAACTTGAAGTGTACGTTGGTTATTGCATTCTCAAATCATACGTACTGTTTGTATCCATCCACAAAAAGCGTAGGGATTTTCCATGCGTCCTTTGCTACTCCGTAGTTGCAGTGGGCTCAGACGATCCCAAGCTTATGCCAAGCCACTTGATATGGCCAGGGTCCATGGGCAGCCTTTTTCGGCATCGTGCAAATTATTCAGTTTCCCGGTCATTTTTAGGTCTAGCATTATGTTATTGGTCCGCTCAGTCAGTTAGCGTTGTGGTGCTGTTGGTTCTTGTTCTCTATGTCGACTTGTTTCCAAGACTGCCATGCCACTAACACGACACGATATGACACTCCCTTTGCCCCCTTGGAAGGATGAAGCTGTTGGCGATTGGATCTTATCCATCAATCAGATTAGATAAAAATTTTCACATCATCCATGTTCCGATCTCGGGTCAGTTCCCCCACTCGTTTGCCACTTGTAATCTGATCCCGTCTGTTGACCAGCTGCGGACCCCGTCCTATTGGGGAAAAGGCCAACTGAGAGCATCCCTTCAGCCCAGAGCCCGATGCTTTCGATAGCTCCTTGGCCTAAAGCCTCTATCGTCTCCGAGGCGAGCTACAATGGTCTGTTGCAGGGAAAGTTTACCGCGTGGAGAGAGAGTTCCGGTGCAGAACCAACACATGGTAATATGTATGTAGACAACTGACAGTCGCCCGACTCTTGTCCTTTGCATATGCCCATGTCAGTGTTACATCGCACTACATAAAGAATGCAATAGCTCCTCCTCTTATCCTCACTCTTTACATCACAGTCCCAGTGTGTTGCAGCTTCGATCCTAACTTCACTGCACTATCAGTTAGTGTTGAGCTCAACCGCAACAATGTCAGCCCTAGCAAAGATCCGCGAGGGCCTCGCTCGCGAGGATAATACTGCCGTCGCACATACTCTGGCTCCCCACGAGAAGGAGATCGAAGAGACTCCCGAGATCATCACCGAGACTGGTCCTGGCCACGACAAGGAGGCCACTGCCGGTGCTCTCCCTCCTGACGATAAGGGCAACGATTCCGATGTGCCCAGTGAAGATGTCCAGACTGGAGTCAAGGAGATTCAGGCCATTACCCTCACTTGGGGTAAGGGATCTCTGGCTGCTCTTTTGTGTCTGTGAGTTGTACTCCCCAAACTGACTCTGACTCTGATTCTGTGTACATCTCTAACCAAACTTCGATAGCATCTGGACACTCTTCCTTATAAGTGGATTCCGTGGTTCCTTCTACCTCGTCTTGGTACCTTATGTTACCAGCGAGTGGCAGGCCCATTCCCTCATGACCACCATCCCCATCGTATCAGACGCCATGACTGCAGCCTGCTATATCCCCATGGCCAAGGCCCTCGACGTCTGGGGACGCGCTGAGGGGTTCCTGCTCATGAGCGGCTTTGCAACTCTTGGTCTTATCCTCATGGCTGTATCTCAGAACCTTGCCACCTTCTGTGCTGCACAAGTCTTCTACTCTGTCGGATGGGGAGGCATGATTTATGCTGTTGGCGTCCTCGCTGCCGATGCATCTAATCTCAGGAACCGAGGTTTGGCCTTTGCTTTTACCTCCTCGCCATACATGATTACGGCTTTTGCCGGTTCCAAGGCTGCCGCTGCTTTTGTCCTCGATGTCAAGAACTGGCGCTGGGGTTTCGGCTGGATCGCTATCGTTCTGCCGTGTGTCACTATTCCTCTGTTCCTTGTCTTGAAGGTCAATCTTCACAAGGCTTTCAAGA